TGGTGCTGTTTATTGATAAATCTACGGTGGGAAGAGAAAAGCTTAGAGTATATTTAATTTAGGGACTATATTCTTTATCTTTTTTTCTGCAATTCTGAGGTCATGATTGTAAAGAGAAAATTATTAGACATCATTTGATATTTAAAACTTCTTCATGATTCATTGCAGTTCCTCCTCATAAATGGAGAACAAAATGCAGTAGTTTGCTCATATTTGGTCTTGATTAATTACTATTCTTTATTTTTACCTTGCCTTATTTCAGTTTCTTTGACCTAACCAATATTATGAATACTTTTGCTTACTCTCTTCCATAAATGCATTCTGACAGATGTGTCAGGCTGACTCCCCTAGGGAAAGAAAGGGAAGGGGCCGAGGGATTATTCTTGCAGCTGATATGACAAAATTCCTCCTGCCTGGTATGCAGTAGTCCTATTACCTTGTAGTACCCAATACAATTGTAGTACCCAGGCTTTTTTTTCCTGTCAGTTATTTGTCTTTTTAGTTGCTTACTGTATTGTGGGAACATATTATACAGTACTGCCATACCTAATTATGTGTGGTAGGTGAAGAAATGTATCAAAAAGACATTTTATGAGCTTTTTTTTTTTGCATTGGTTACAGAGCTGAGTCTTCTTTCCTTTTTTTTTGTGTGTGTGTGTGGGGGGGGGGGCATGTGAACATAGTGCTAAATCTCATGTCCCATAGGGGTTAAAGCATCCTCTCTTTACTGTTTATGAACAAGCGTATTTGTTTGCTGTGTAGCAAGTTCTGTTATATGTAGACATATAAATTACAAAACAAACTTGTGAAATTCTAGTACTTGCATAGAATTAGTCCCTGTATACTAAATGGAATGAGGGTAGTTTCATGCTTTGCATATGGTCTGATATGTGAGGTGGTGAGGTGGTTTAAAGGTCCATCATACCACCATGCTCCATTGTTGTTTTACCCTTCTGTGTAGTCAGCATGGTTAATATCTGTTCTGTAGAAACATTATCACTCAACCTTACAGTCATTAGGCTCATGTTCTTGGACAGTTTCCACCAAAGGGTGTGAAAGCGATGATATAGCCCAAACTTATTATTAAAATATTTACAACTTCTTTAATAAACATAACATTCACCATTCAGTTAAATTTCACAAAACTTCATATTTTTTAACTTTATACACAATTTTTATACTAAGATACAACTTTTAATCATTGCCAAAATTTGGACTCTAATGTTGCATTTTGATCATTTGATCATGAGGTGGCAACATTTTGTCATATCGAGGCAGTTTCACCAAAGTAGAATACATGTCCACAATACATGTATAAGTCTACCAATGCCTTGTGCATACCAGTCATATGCTGAAAGAACTAATGGTTCTGGTTTTGCATGCAAATACTGTGGTATATGAGGACTTCTGTATGCTGAAACCTAGTTACTAAACACTATAATATAAGATGCACTCCAAAAGCATATCTTCAATGTAGATATTATATTTATGCCAATATTACTTATTTCATACTTTAGTATAGAAGTTTGGGGTATCATTCTGAAATGTAATTGACAACACAAAGCAAGTGAGGGCAGACACTGGAGTGTCAGTTCAAGGTAAAGTTACATTTCATGCAAAACAGGATAATTAATATAATAGATAATATAGTTAGGAATTATTCTATGAAAGTAGAAAGCTATTACATACTAAATTGTATACTGTTAAGATGCTTGTACAATTTATTTAATATTTTCAGTCAAACCTTTGACTCTGTAGGTTGTTCAGTCTCTTTGAAATAATACTGTTTGTGTGCCTAAATTTAATAGATATGCATCAAAATCTTTGACATTGTAGTTGTACCCTGAGAATGTGTGCATGCTGTTATTGTTTTATTAGTGATAAAATGCTTATCTGCATTATTGCAGTTGGTGGAGCCGACATGAGAGGATGGGAACCTAAGCCAATCAGGCTGCTTGTGGTCTGTCCCACCTCTTCCCATTCACACTTGGGAAAGACTGTGTTATGGTTTTAGTTTTATTGTGAAGGTTAATAGCCCCTCTGTTGCAAATGATGTAATAATTTTGTCTAGGCAATGCTAGCTGACAAATTATGCTGCGGGGTTTTCGTGGCAAGGTTAACCCAATCACACTGGGATGTGAGTGAATGAGCATGTGAGTGAATGAGCAAGTGTGTGAGTGAATGAGCGAGTATGTGAATGAATGAGTATGTGTGTGAATGAGTAAGTATGAGTGAGTGTAAGTGAATGAGCAAGAATGAGTGAGAGTGAGTGAATGAATGAGAACAAGAGAAGATGAGTGAGTGAGTGTGTGTGTGTGTCTGTGAGGGAGAGGGGAGAGGGGAGGGGGGGGCAAAGGAGAAATTAAAATGAGAATGACAGAGGGGATGAGAGTGAGTAACTAAAGTTTATTTTGAAAGCTGATATTTTTACAATTAATTATTCTAACTAATTTCTGTAACTTAACATTGCAGTTAGTAATTTATGTACCATATGAATGAAAACAGGTTAATATCCCCACACATTGTGTGGCTGATCTTCCTAACGTAGATAATTTTATATATTTCTTTTTCTGATATATTGCAATGTAAGTAGATGAAAGAGTAGTATACATAGCCTTTGAAAGTTATAAAGATTTGTCTTATTTTATTCGTGATCATTTCATCATTTTTCTCTTTTACGGTAAAGGATCCAAAAACTGAGGAAATGCAAGCAAAGATGGAAGAACTGAAAAAGCAGGAGAACAAAATCAAGTCAAAGTTGAAACAGATGAAGAAATTGGAAGGGAGGAAAGCAAGTGGAGGCCAACTGACATCGGAAGAGGAAGCCAAAATAGCCAAGAGAAGTGAGTTTGAAGCAAACCTTGCGGAAGTGAAAGGGAAAATGGAAGAACTTACAGTGTAATTGTTGAGATGGATCATGTATTGAGAAGACCACAGTTTTGATTAATTTGTAATTGTTATGACAAGTCATTTCATTTTCATATATCCTTGTGTCACTGAGATTTGGGAAATGTAATACCAATGAAATTGTATTATTATTCCTTTTAGTAGTTTAATCTTGTATCTTGTTTGCACTGAATTTGTTGTAGCTTAATCCACATAATTACATAATGGAGGTGCATATCAAATACTTTTTTTTTTTTTTTTTTTTTTTTTTTTTTTTTTTTTGACAGTCTTTTTTCGTTTGTTTGTTTGAAAAAAAAAGTTATTTCTTTTATTTGTAGCTGAGGTGAAACTTCCCTTAACTATTTTTTAAAGTGATAATGATTGAAAGATAGTTGAATGTTTTTGTTGATGTCTGATGGGGTGCATCTCTTTATTATCCTTTTATTTATTTATTTATTTTTTCTTAAATAAAGGAATTAGCATTTTAAAATCACTGATTTCTGGAAATGGAATGGAAATGAACCTGTTACAAATCACATGGAAATGTTTAGTCTGCTAACTTTTTATGTCCTCTGCTTCTTCTGTTTTTATTTTTGTAAGTCTGATGTATACTTTTATTTTTCTGATGGATGGGATGTGTATATATATTAAAGAGGAAAGTGAAAAGTTTGTTATGAACAAGTTTTATTTTAGTTAGTAGTAGTCTGCACCACATTACATATATCATATTCAAAATATAAAATTTTCAATGCAATAAAAATAAACTCATATTTTCAACCCATACACCATTGCTACTAAATTTCCTTAATATCTGGTGTTTATACATGAAGATTTTATCCTTTTTTTTTTTTTTTTTTTTTTTAACCCATCTGCCCCGGATTTATTTTCCATCCCCTGTAGTTTTTGGTGAATTTTGTTACATACAGATGGCTCCACATGTGCTCAGCCGGCAAGGAGTCTATCAGTAGGCCCTAGTTACCGATCCTGATTTTACCATTCCTTGAATTGGTGGGGAAGTGTGTTTTTCTTATTAATACAACTGCTAACAATACTGTTATTATTGTTATTAATGTTATGATTATTAAATTGTCATTAAAATATTTTAGATAATGAAATGACACAAAAGACCCTTTCCTAAAGTAAAGGAAAAGGGTAATCAGGTGAGATAGGTAGCTCTAATAACTGGCTATTTGGTGATTAAGAACTTGTAGAGCCATCTATGTATAAATACAATAAATAAACTTGTATTACAGTGGGCATGGTATGTATTCTTGCCAAATGGGGCGAATGGGTTAATTAGTCAAGCTATTTTCATTTTACATTTTACTCTTCCCATTACCATACATGAATCATATCAAGTCATCAGAATCTTTAGAAGAAACTGGTTTCACAAACCACATTTTAAGTATCCCATTATTATTATTTTTTTTTTCATAGCTTGTCTAGAAAGAAGTAGATTTTGGTCTTCAGAGCATTAATACTAAATAGGAGAGTTGCTGGCTATATTAAAGTTTTGTCATGTAAAAGTTCCTTCACACATCAACAGCTATATTTCAGCCAGGGGGAGGGGGGGCACTTAAGTTCGTAACAATAATTTTCAGTTGAGCTGACAAAGTCTGAACTTTTTGTCACCACTTGGGTTCATAAAAGCTTTCTGTCTTGTCTGAAGTATTGACTTGTTTATGGGCCAAGTACAGAATGCCCATTGTGGTAAGTGCTGATACTAGAAATATAACATCAAACCATCGGTGGTAGAAGTGGAACTGGAGATCACCCAAAACCTGAAATATGGAAGGTATTGGAAACCAGAAGCTATATGCTGATGAGGGAAAAAGGTAACAAAATGCCTGACATCAGAGATACAAAAGATGGATCTGTTGTACAATATATTAACATTGTCTTGAGTCATAATCTATCCAAACTTAACCCAATACTGCCAGTGGTTTCCTGATATGAAAGCCCTTTCTACCAGGTTGTATTCATAGTGGCATGGCCCCGCTGCAGGGGGACTGTATCATCACCATAGCATGTGCGGCATGACAATACATGCCCCCGGAAGACTGGACCCACACCCCAAGTCATGTATTCACATACCACCCGGAATACAGTTGAGA